TTGCTTCTTCATTTTGGGAAATACCAGCATCATTTGGTAATTCTGAATCATCGTTTTCATATTTCATATCAGAATATTAGATGGTTTAATAACATTTATTTTCAATATCACTAATTAGCAAACTAGCACTTATTGAAATATTGTGTCAGGGTTACTGTACGATTTCCGAAAGCTATTTTCCTGAAAGATCATAATACTGAATAATTCTTTTTTCTTTCAATTAATTAGCAATTTGAGTAGCATTTTATTTATTTGTGGTATTGTAACAGTATCAATAAAATGATTTTAAAATATTTCAAATGTTCGTATTAATTTGAAACAGAGCTGGATATTTTTTAAAATTACAAGCTTGTAAACATAGGTTTCGGCAAATTTTATTCTCTTGAGAATTGGTTGTGTCAGAAGCACATATTTTGTTAATGTTTAGATTATTTTTTTTTTACACAGTAGCAGAAAGAATTTTGAAAGAGCGTTTAATAATTATTTCGAATTTTTTTTTTGAAAAACTAAACTGATGTTTTTGATTTTGCGGCTGCGCTAAGGTGGCGTGATCTAGTTTACCCAATTGAAGACGGTATTTCATGCGTCCAATCATAACTAGTCCCCTCAATTAATGGGTTGAAGTGCATTTTATTCGGTGAAAGAAAAATTTTAAATAGTAAAAAATGATTAGTGAGTTTATTATTTCAGTTAAAAACTATTTTCTCTGAATCTCCTTTTTTTCTGTGCTGACTTATAAAAACTTTATAAATATTAAAGTTATTTAAGTATTGTTCAAGTGTTTCATACTTTTTATTATGCATTTTTGTAATAGACACACATTTTTTGTAAAATTTCATTAAACTAATTAGAATCATCTCAAGCAGTGATTGAGATCTTTATTTTGATTTATCGTTTCAATTGAGCATCACAACAATTATTAGAAAATCACAGTACAGTGCTCAACAAAAGATTTCTATGCCTATATCTTCTCATAAAGTGGTGCTACGACCTTGAAAGTTAGAATGTAAGGTAAGTATGCCTAATTTGACGCAGTTAATCTTTTCCAATAGTAAAATTTTGCAAGATCGGCATAAAGCAAACAAGTTTTTACTAAATTCGATACAAGTTGATCTAAAATAGATGTTCATTGAAAAAAAATTTTTATTAAGCAAGAAAGTAACAAAACTTTATCATTATACATGTATGTAAATTCTTTCGAAAATCAAGATTATCAATCAATCGTCCTAATTTGATGCACTGCGAACAAATGATAATTTCAAATTTTCTCTTTTTCAAGCCGTTTCATGTCCTTAATACGTTGCTTTTCTGCCTGTGCATACTCTGTATCCTCTTTTTTTTTTCTTTGCACTTCTTGTTTTTGTACCATTTTGACTTCATAAGCTAATTTTTTTTTGAAGAGCTGCTTTTTTTTTTTGTCTTTTCTTGTTGGCTTTTTGTTCTGCTTCCTCCTCTGCCTTCTTCAACAGTTGCAATGAACTTTTATGTGTGACTAACTAAGAAAAGGCATAGTTTTTCTTCTTTTTTGTTTCAGTAGCTGGGATCCTTCTTGCTCTTTATTAGTTTTTGTTTCTTCAGTTGGTTGCGAATGTTGACGCAGAGGATATTTGAGTATTTGTCGCAAAGAACTTGTGCTGGGATTTTGGTAAGTTTTAAGCTCTTCCTCTAATTGTTTAACTTTTTAATTTAGCAGTATAATCTCTGATATTAACTCTTCTTGTGTAGGATTTTCTTTGATAAAGGGATTATGAATTGGAACTGAATTTGAAAAAGATTGTAAAGACAAAGAAGATTGTGAAGATGAAAAAGATTGTGAAGACAAAGAAGCTGGGTCAAGAATTTCCAAAATGTTAGTTTGTTCCATTGCCAACGAGAAATCTAAATGGTTAGGGCTAATAGCACTAGGATTGAAGGGCCAAATCCCCGTAGTTTTGAAGGCATTGCATATAGCAGTAGGTGTAAAGCTTGCAAGATAGGATAGACCTAGAACTTGAGCAAATGAATGTTTCGTCACATGCTTACCATCGTTATTATTTCTTAACTTATTAAATTCCTTAGTATACGCTCTTTTCAATGTGGCAAACGGTAATTCGGCTGGTTGTAAAATATGAGTGGTGTGAGGAGGAAGGGTATAAAGAAGAATATTATTTTTAAAACAAAAGGTAATACTAGTATAGTTGATGTAACTTTTGTGGCTGTCTATAATTAGCAAAACAGGATGATTGGGAGGAATTGAACTAATAAAATATTCAATATATTGTTGAAACAGGCTTTCTCGCATATAACCTGTTTTAGTAAAACCCATGACAGAACCAGCAAGCGCACCGTTTAGAAGACCCGGATCATTTGCTTTCCCTTGTAGATAATTAATGGTAGAATGTAAGTTCTGGCAGCTGAGATGGTAGGGCATACCGAATTATGTTTGTGAGAGTTATTTGAAACCCAATAGACTTGGTGAGCACCCTTTTTAGTGATGACTTTTGGAAGTCGAGGTTCGATGACAAAGCCCGTTTTATCCTAAAGAGTAAAAAAAAAAAAAAAAGAAAAAAAAATCGTGAACAAAAAAAAAATAAAATAAAATCTTTACAAATAAAATAATAAAAAAAAATTGGGTTAGGGTTCCATAGCCTAGTGGTCTAGGCGCCTAATCCTCCACAGACAAGGTCAATGGTTCGTTTATAGCTGGTGGTAATTAATTTAATTAATTATCTCTGTAACCTACGGGAGCTTTCAAATGCGAAACCCTGTGACAATAAGACCATGTAAAGTACTTATTTGGCCTATAAAGAATTCTTGGAAGGAGTCCCGAGCTGTAGAGAAGACTGGGCACTACGTGTGATATGGCATCACAAAAAGAAATACCGCATAAGGCTGTGCATGTAAATCCTCGATTGGCTAGGTAGCACCAACAACCCTAAAGCGGTCTTGGGGATCTTGATTGGGAGAACGGCTAAATGTAGTATATCTGGAAGTGGTGAGAGAAGCGGTGAATACAGCAAGTGGCTGTGGTAAGAGGATGGCTTTACAAATAAAGGAACACCTCTGGCATACAAGATTGGAAAATTGGAAAACTAATAAGGAAATACTGCATATCACAACATCGTTGATAGGTGCCATACTGATGCGCTATAAGTCAAAGTTCCAGGTGCCCTTGCATTACCAAGCTGGAAGTAAACTGATCGTCAGTAGTACACCCATATAACATAAAGTTATAATGGGAAGCTTCGGCATCCATGCTACAGTCAATCATACCAACTATGGGAGCATTGTATAAAGTAGGTAG